ATTTTTTTTTTTTTTTTTTTTTTTTGATACTGGGAATGGAATTCGGGTCCTTGAGCTTGCAAAACAGGTGCTGGAACCACTGAGCTAGATCCCCAGCCCTCATTCTATGTATCTTGATTGAGGAACTTTAGAGTTGAAACTTTTTCTTTTTTGGAAAACTTTTTTATATAATTAGAAAAATATTAGAGTTTTCGGTTGAGGGTACAGCGTTCTGTTCTTTTAATTGTTGTCACAAAATATGAACTTATCGCTGGGTGTGGTGGTGCACGTCTGTAATCCCAGCACTCCGGAGGCTGAGGCAGGAGGATCACTGTGAGTTCAAGACCAGCCTGGGCTACATAGTGAGTTCCAGGTCAGTCTCAACTACATAGTAAGACCCTGTCTCAAAAAACCAAAAAAAAAAGAATTTATCATAAACAAATTATAACTGTTAAGTTATTTTCCTGGCTGATATGTAAACTGCTCCTGTATGACCTGTTTAGGTTATATAAAAATGTAATATTAGTTTCTATAAATGTTATTGACAGTAACAATTTGAGTTGTTGAGGAATGTCATATTCTTCAAAAATGTACAAAACTTTTTTTCAAGTAGCAAAACCAAGATCTTTGTAGAGAATTTTTTGGATCTCATTTTTAAATTATCATGGGTTTCCCTGTTTCCTGTAATGACATAAATTCATAATGCATATTACATTGCTATTGTGATGGTCCCTAGAATTACTAGTGTAATTCTAGTAGCCATTAACTACTAGAAGTATTAACTACTATTTCAAATGTTTCAAAGAGACATGTTTTTCCTTTAGTAATTCTTGCTTCTGCTTTTAATATTTGCTCACTCATCGTAAAGTATTACTCCTGTATATATTTGTATAAACACTTACCATAATTGATAGAAAAAGGAAGAAAATGGCTAAAGGGGAAGTGAGAAGGGGAGGGGAAAGGAAATAAGGGAAAAGAAAAAAATGTGATAAAAGGAAAATATGAAAACAAAGTCTTTGTAAATAGGGAAGGGTGAAGGGGATGAAGGGAGGGCAGTGGGGGGGACAAGAACCAAGACATAACCATGTAAAGGTACAAGATCCCAATGATAAATGTAACATATTATTTGCTTTAACTGTACCAATAAATGTAATGGGGAGAAAAACACTCTTACCTTACTTGTAGGTAACCAGAAGTCTTTCAGAGAAATACATAGATATTTATACATACTCAAGTATATATCTAAGTATATATTATTGGCATTCAGTGATTCTTGAATTAAAACTTACAAAATATCACCAAAGGGCAGATACGTTTTATAGCACCTGTTTACACTAAGGACCCTTTTCATTTATCTCTAGTCTGTGAGTCCCTATCATGATTAATATTTCTATATGTCTACTCTGTACTTCTACAATAAAGTGTTACTATATTTCTGTTAAATGTTTCAGAACTCTAGACCTTTTATGTTCTCTACCTGAAGTATTGGCACTATAAAGCAAATATTTCCTATCAAAGGAAAACAGGTAAACAGTTTTAGACTGCCGCCTATGCAGAGGTATTTAACTGTATTTTATCATTATAAAACTTAAGATAAAATGCAGTGTGGTTGTGGTTGTTACCACTAATCAACTTTACTTGGCAGTTAAGAGAAAAAGCGAATGAGTTGTGGGCTGAGTTTGCTTAGTAGTGTAATTCTAGGTTCGCCAAGCTATGGATCTTGTATATAGCTCCTGGTTGTTTTTGTTTGTTTGTTTGTTTGTTTTTTCATACAGTCTACAAGCTTGGTGTGATTTTTCACATTTTTAAAGGGTTATTTTTTAAAGAAAAATTACTGTATTGGATGGAAGCCAGTGAAAGCAGGACTTCATTTGTTTGCTTACTGCAATATTGCTCAATTTTAGAATGGTTCCTATAAATATTTTCTAAATAAAGTGGATGAATCAGTGGAAGTAGCAGAGAGAAGGACCATTATACACTTCTAAGCAGCATTAAGTCCTTGTTAGACATAAAAATATACAAATGTGACTAATAATTTCCACTATTCTAGAACTTACAATTAATCTTTGCTGTAAAGGGTTAAATCGGTTTATAACAGCAATAAAAATATGTTCTGTCCTACACAGAAAATGAATATAAGAAAAAAACCTATTATTATTGAGAGAAATGAATAAAAGAACCTAAACTCTTCTCAGCAAGAAAAAGTACAAGATGAAAAAAAAACTATTACAAGTTTGATATTCTTGAAGCCAGCCGTAGACTTGTTTTCTAAAAGATTAAATTGCAGTGTATTGACAAAACAACCTAATTTAATGCTTGATCTTTTTTTACAATTAAAATACTTTATACATGAAATGACTCATTTTTTTGTTTTGCATTATAGGGATTAAACCCAGAACCTTGCATTTGCTAGGCAGGTACTGTACCACTGAGTTGCATTCCCCAGGCCTTAACCTTCTTACTTTTTGATGCTAGTCATTTGGACAAAGAAATTAAATGATAACTTTATAATTTTTGTTGCTTCTAAAATTATGTATAGTTTGAGGATTTACCTGCAGAACTTATCATGGTCTTATTATGATTTTTGCTTATTATATCAAATAGGGGGATACAATTTTATTTGTTCACATCATTTTATAATATAACTTATTACAAAAGTTTGTTTTCAGGTTTTCCATAGGATCATGTATCTATAGCCACAAAGTACTCTTTCCTCTGCATCATTTCCTAAAGATCACATAGTTTGGGGATTTGTAAGATGTTTGGAGGTGTACCCATTGTTCTCTGGTACTGTACACTAGACCATATGACTGGTGTCGCAAGATCTGTGTCCTTGTCTGATCAGAAATAGCTGATCTACTGAGAGATGGGAGGACCATTTAGAATGAAAATCAGGGCTCCTCTGGATCTCCCTACCAGGAAAATGAGCATTAATTATAAGAACCTAACCCTAAATTTTGAAACTTAACTCCACAAAATATATATGTATTTTACCTCCTTAACTTTAGAAAACTTACTATTTAAAGAAAGTTAACAGGGCTGGGGATTTAGCTCAGTGGTTCCACCACCTGCCTCACAAGCGTAAGGTTCTGAGTTCAATCCTTGGTATCAAAAAAAGAAAGAAAGTTGACAAATTTAATATAAAATGGATTTTATTTTAAAAATAGCATTTAAAACATGGTTTCCTCTCATAAACTTAATTAGAAAGTTAAAGCTCTTTTATTTAGTAACCTATAATAGTTTTTGAAGGATTGAACAATAAAGTCTTAAAAAGTGCATTCGGAAAAATACAAGATCTACATATGATCATTTATATTTTTTAATTTTTTTACATTATACATACATAATTGAAAATATACATAATCTTAAAGAGTACATTCACTGTGACATTTCGTACATGAAAATTTTGTTGTTACCAGCTCATTTAAATCACAGGGTGATTCTCATGTTCCAAAGCACCGATATATTCAACAAGACTTATATTCAACAAAAATAAAGTTAATAGCTCTCCTTCCTTGCTACTCTTTACTGCCTGTGTTAATACACTCACTAGACATAACATTTGTGTTTATTATATAGTCTTCTCCAGCTCACACAACTCCACAAACCCAGAATACAAGTGGTCGTAGAAGAAGAGCAGCTAATGAAGATCCTGATGAAAAAAGGAGAAAGTTTCTAGAGCGAAACAGAGCTGCAGCTTCAAGGTGCCGACAAAAAAGAAAAGTTTGGGTTCAATCCTTAGAGAAGAAAGCGGAAGACTTGAGTTCATTAAATGGTCAACTGCAGGTATGGTGCATAAATGTGAATTTTTTGTTTATTCATTTTAGTTAGCTTTTCCCTGTGTTTTCTAGTTGGCCTTCCAGACATTTTAGGACATAACAGTGGGTGTATGTAGAATTTATAGTAAATCATAGTTTTATAAAACTGTATTGAGATGAATAGAAGACTTTCAACACCAACATTGTGAAGAAATTTAAAATATAATTGTTTACCTGTGAAGTACAAAGTACCTAAACTGTCTGGCTTGAACTTCATGAAGGTGTGAGATAAGTTCAAAGCATTTGAAATTTAGAAGTGTTAGTACTATTTTACTTTTCTTGATTATTTTTGTTTAAATCATAAACATAAAGTTGCTTCAGAAGCAGTTTTTATTTTTCACCTCTTAAATTATATATTTTACTTTATTTCAAGTGAATATAGTACTTGTGAAAGGTGCCAGATTGACAGTTTTGGAAACTGAAGAACTCTGATTATCCACAGAACAGGAACATATTGGCCAGTGGCAATACATGTCATTTCATACTGCTTTGCCATTGTGCCACAGATACTTTCTTAGGACCTCATGCAGCAGAAAGGTTTTAAGGCTCCTTTTTCACTCATTGTTCGGTAAGATTTCCAGTGACATTATCTGACACCAGATGTATTTTTTTCCTTCTGTTTTTTCTTTTATTTCATTGTTTTGTTTTTAACATCCTGAATATTTTTCAATAAAATCTTTTAAACTACCAATGAATGATCATCAACTAAAATGAATTGTAGTTGTTAACAGCATAGGCCAGTCTTTTTAAAAAAATTTAAATATATGTATTAATTTAAAAACTACAAGGGCCGGGGATTTAGCTCAGTGATTGCACCACCTGCCTTGCAAGCACAAGGACCTGAGTTCAATCCCCGGTACCAAAAAAAATTTAAAAATTTAAAAAATAAAAGCTACAACATTCTTCTATGAAAAACATTTTTAATTTCATGACCAATAGAGAATAACAATGGTTAATACACTGTGTATCATGATCTTCAAAGAATTACTAAAGAAAACATGGTATTTATATACAATAGAATACTACTCTGCCACAAAGAAAGAAAAAACTTGAGACATTAGTAGGCAAATAGATGCAACTGAGAACGTAATGTTAGAATACCCACAAGCTTTTAAATATTGCATGGTTTCTCTTGTCTGGGAAGCACGCACGCTCTAATACATACAAATACATACTAATATGCATATCAGCATGCAAATATATGTAATATGTATATAATAGAGAGGGTGTATGTGTGTGTGCACAAAATAGAAGATAGACAAATAGGGAGTATGGAGAAGTTCAAACCCGATCCTTTGAATTACCCTTCCCATTAAAAATGAATCTTTTGGGCTGAGGGTATAGCTTAGTGGTAGAGAACTTGCCTGGCATGTGCAGGAGGTAGATACTATGATGAGACAGCATATTGGTGCAGGGAGGAGAAAATAAAAAGAGACTGCTTGAAGGTAAGGAATTTTGCTTTGGAGAGTTAGAAGTCTTTTGTAACAAGAGAGGTGGTTATACAATTTTGTGAATGTACTAAGTCCAACTCTAAAATGATTGTCTATAAATTATATGATTTTCATTTCAAATTACTCCCAAAAAGTTGCATATTAAAAGGTATAGCAAAACCCTTTTGTATTAATGAAGGATTTGCACATAGATGGATAAAGTACAGGTACAGGAATGGATACAGAAATGACCCATTGTACCCGTAAGTACAGAAATACCATTTTTAAAGTAACATTTTACTTTTCAGAGTATGAAGAGTTAATATGCTCATGTTAAATTCAGGAAGCAAAAATTTCTTCCATGTTGCCAACAGCAAAACCATTAACTGTGAAGAACAGAATGACTTGTAAAGAAAATTGAATGTCAAAGAAATAATTAAACTCTACTTTATGTGAAAACATTCGTCAGTCCTGTATTTCCTTAATAATCTTTCATGTGACATATAAGCTTAGCTGATCAGTGCGGTGGGAAGGAATGACCCATAATTGCTTACTTACATATACACTAAAATGTTTAACAAATGTTGAGGGATGATTGTTCATATTTTTACCAAATATAATTTGATTTTGAAGAAAGTAGTAATTATTCAACCTTATTACCCCATACATTGAAAGAATCATGTTTCAGTTTTCTGAAGATCATTGCTAAAAGAACAATTTCATCACATTTTATTAGAGACATTTATTGTAATCTAGACCGAGAATTGAATACTATTATCAATTCCTGTATTCTCTATTTATAACTTGATTGATTATTTGATTGATTGATTGATTGAGGGCCTAACTCCCTGCATAACCCAGACTGGCCTCAAACTCATGGCCATCCTCCTGCCTCATTGTGTTTTTTAAAAGTAATATCTGTTCTATTATTTTTATTTGAAATGATTTTAACTTGTTTATAGCTTCACTTTTCAATAATACTCATTATAAGGGTTATTTTTTAGTTCACAGTTTCAGCGTTTCTTTTGTGTTCAAAAAGGCAGACTGTTCTCTTTATGAATAGGTCTGTAACTCAGTGAGTAAACCTTAGAAAGGTTTTTTTGCTATGGATTCTGTCTTTAAAGCTTAAATATTGCAAAATAGGTGTGGAGTAGCAGCTCAATAAATTAGCAGAAGCGTACTTTTATAGCTGGATATAGGAGGATTTTTCATTCAAAACTTAATGTTGTGGAAAAGGTTTTGTTTATTGGTTCATTGTCTTGGAGGGAATGGTTTCAAATCTTTTATTTCTGGTACCTAAACTATTTTATTTCAGTATTATAAGTTGAAATAGGATGAATAGCAATAATTAGTAGATAGTATACAATGCCTATTTGCTTTAATTGCTGAAAAAGTTGATGTAACTGCCTTCCATTTTTTTCCTCTCAAGGTTTAATAATATGTTATACCAGGAGTAAAGGGTAATGGTGTTGCCACCCCTACCTCATGCATTTTATTGTGAATTTGCTATCTAGTGCTTATTTTTACTGTCCTTTACTAAAAATCAAATGAGACAGGTAGAGAAGCATGTTGAAACTACCATGAAATGCTACTTATTATTTATTCTGTCATTATGTATCAAATATATGCAAGGAATATGATTAGACATAGGGAATGTAGCAGTGAAAAAGACAGTCTTTGCACTTAAAATTTGGGTTTAGTCAAGGAAACAGATGAGTAATTAAATATGAGGAAAGCAATCATTCCCATTTGTTTTGTAAAATATCCCCAAAATATTATATAGCTTAAGTGAGAACTCTATCATCTTTCTTTCCCAGTATTATAAATTAAATAATTTACTGTTAGGTGTAAGGTTTTACATCCAAGTTAACCCTTGAAACTGTATGGTGAGAATCTTGATATTTAACAACTGACCTTTGAAAAGACTACAGAAAACAAGTTATATCTCTGGCAATGAGAAATTCCTTAAAAGAAAGAACTATTTAATATTATTTCTTCAGTTTGGAGGTAGTCGCTAAACTAGAATGTCAAGATCATCAGTTTATGGACTACCTGGTCATCAGACCATGACCAGATATCTGTAAAAAGTTTGATTGGTAGTGAATTAGCAATCCTGTCATAATTTTATCAGTCTAATGTACTTCAGAGAAAGTTTGTAGAAAAATATTATTTGGTCACTAGTATGTAATTAGCCTTTGAGTAGCCACATTACTAGAGTGAAGCAGGAGAACAGATAATGTCAAGACTATTTACTTTATAGACTAGTATAATATTTTTACAGCATCTCTTTTTTTGTTTTTGTTTTGTTTTATTTTGTTTGTGATTTTGAGACGGAGTCTCACTATGTAGTTGAGACTGACCTGGAACTCACTTTGTAGCCCAGGCTGGTCTCAAACTCACAGTGATCCTTCTCCCTCATCCTCCTGACTACTGGAATTATAGGCATGCGCCAGCACGCCCAGCTCCTCTTTCTTTTCAAATCGGTTGTCCTTTGACAAAATAAATCCTCACATTTGAATGGGTCTTTTACAATTTCAAAATGCTATCATGTTACTTATTTCATTTAATCTCCGAAATGTTCCAGGAGACTCATCAAACAACTCACAAATAGTAGGGCTTTGAAGGCTGAAATCCAAATAAAGTCTAAAATAATCTACAGGGCCAGGGATTTAGCTCAGTGCTTCCAGCGCCTGCCTCACAAGCACAAGAACCCAAGTTCAATCCCCAGTACCAAAAATAAAATAAAATAATCTACCAAGTAGATGGTAGAGGGATAATATTTTTTTTTTTACTTAATATTAAATCTCTATCCCCTCACATTTACTTTGGCTGAAGCAAAAGGTCTGTGGTAAATAACCTCTTTCTTTTATTATTTTCTAAGGTCTCTGTATAGGAGTTTTCACAATATGTTATTTAGCAGGCCTGTCTCTATCTTTTGATTTTACTTTCTACAAAAATTTCAGAAACTGAGAAAGGTGATACACATCTATAATTTAAGCCTAACATGGGCAACTTAACAAGACCCTGTCTCAAAACAAAATATAGGAGCCAG